AACACAACAGGTTAACTGTTCTGAAATATGAAAAATAGGCTACTAGAAACCCATATGGATATATGAATTCATCTCTTATCACTGAACACAGTTTCAAGTATTTGGTTATGTTTTTTTTTTGCTTCACAAGCAATTAGAAATTTCTACAAATTACCCAAAATAGTTGTAGAAGTATTAATTATTAAAGTAACCTGCCTTCCTTTGTGCATCTTTAAAAAATGAGTTTGGATATTAAAGGATTATAGTCATTTTTTTACAGGAATGCTTTTGGTCCAGTGTCAAACTTTACCTCTTTTCATAGATATTAAGTAACTCACATGAGTTAGCATTAAATATCAAAACAAGCTAAAATACTGGGATTAAATAATCTCATGGGAAATTTATTGGTTCACTGAGGTTATTTTGGCAATGTGAATCAAAAGTAACTAGCACCGTTTAAGGAGTGCTTTTAATTTTATATGTAGGTAGGTAATTGAAAAAAAAACTGAGCTAGAAAATAATGTATTAGCATTGTTCTATAATTTCCTGAGCTTTTGAATAAAAGGATATTGATGCCTGTATGAACATTTTATTATTCTGAATATTATTCAGAATATTATTATTCTTATAAAACAGTTGCCTTCTCTATGCAACACTCTACTTTGCAGACTGGGATAAATCTGAATTATTTGACTTTTTATTCCAAAAAGTTATAGAAAGCTCATAATTGAATTGCACTTTGATCTCCTCAACTGTACAAGTCTTCTTTGACTATTAGATTTATATGATGCCCTCCATAATATACTATTAACATTAAAGCATGAGTAATTTAGAAAATAATCTTAATATAACAGTGAAAATCTAAGTCTTGCTCATTATGTAGAAATTGCTTTTAGTTTATCCTAATACTTCACTTTAGATCAAGCCCTAACTTCTCTGCCCAAACTTCTAGAAATCATCTAACTTGTCTTCTTGCTTCACTTCCACTTCTGTCCTCCTCCTGCTACCAGCACTCATTCCTTTTCCCTGTAGTAGTGGGGCAGTCTTTTAAATTATCAAATAAGCTTATATTATATTATTCCACAGTTTCACACTCTCTGCTATGGATTGGATGCTTGTATGTCTCACCAAATTCATATGGCAAAGCCCTCATCCCCAATGCTTTAGTTTTTGGTGGGGCCTTTGAGAGGAAATTAGCTCATGAGGGTGAAGGCCCTCTGAATGGGATTTGTGTGGTTATAAAAGAGACCCAGGAGAGATGATCTCTCTGCCAGTGAGCACATAGAGAAGGCATCTATCTGCAAACCAGGAAGAGGATGCACAACAGAAACTGAACTAGTTGGCATTTTGACCTTTGATTTTTCAGCCCCCAGTACTGTGAGCTGTAAATTTCTCTTGTGTAAACCACCTAGTGGTCCATGGTAATTTGTTATAGCAGTCCAAGACACTACCCAATGACGTTGCATGGTTCTTAAATAAAATCTAATCTCACAGTCGTAAGTCCTTACAGGAGCTGGCCCCTGCCTGTTTGATATATATATATATAGATATAGATATAGATATAGATATAGATATAGATATAGATATAGATATAGATATAGATATAGATATAGATATAGATATAGATATATAGATATAGATATATAGATATAGATATAGATATATAGATAGATATAGATATAGATATATATTGATATATATATATATATATATAATTTTGTGCCAGCTGTTCTGGCCCTCACATTCCTTTCACCTTTGCACCTTTTTATTGACTTACTCCCTCTGTCTAGAACAAAGCTGGCTCTGTCTTGTCTTTCTTTCTTTTTTTTTTCTAATATATTTTATTGATTTTTTTACAGAGAGGAAGAGAGAGGGATAAAGAGTTAGAAACATCAAGGAGAGAGAATCAGCTGCCTCTTGCACACCCCCTACTGGAGATGTGAACGCAACCAAGGTACATGCCCTTGACCTGAATCTAACTTGGGACCTTTCAGTCCACAGGCAATGCTCTATCCACTGAGCCAAACCGGTTTAGGCTCCGTCTTGTTTTTCAAATATGAATTCAAACATTATTTTTCTTAGGGAGGATTCCTTACCATTCAGTATAAAATAACACTCTCAGCAGACCCTAAGTAATTATTCATCACCAAAATCTGTTTTATTTGCTTCAGGGTATTGTATCACAAATTGAAGTTTTCATATTTAGGTGTTTCTAATTTTGTTTTCTGTCTTCCCTACAAGAGGATAGTTTTTAATAAGTTAACATAAGCAGACAAATTTAAACAGACTGGTGCTGACTCAAAATTTTTCATTATTTTACAAATTAATATTTTCAAAAGATTTGTATTTTCTTTGGGATGGGCACTAATATCAGGCAGGGACAAGCTATAAAATATAAACTACTCTAACATATTTCAAAAATAGAGGAAATTTAATATGGGGAATTGGTTACAAAATTTATTGCAGAGATGAGAAACCACCAAGAAATTTATGAGCCAAAGATGAGTATGCACAGGAAGATGTTTCCACATCCTAAAACTAGAGCATTAAAGGGAAGTAGCCACCAAAATTGAGTTGCTGAAAGAAGCTAGGATTTGGCAGGCTTACTTAGTGGGAGTTAGAACTAAGGAACCAGTGCCTATTTGGATGAAACAGAGTTGCAGATGAGATGCAGTTAGAAAGTCAGTCAAAATAGAGGGAAAGGGAAGACTTGTGTCCTCTTCCTGCCTCTGTCTTTGGCCAGTGCCTTTCATTGGTCAAACTTATCCAGGTAGCAGAGAGCAAAGAAGCTTGGGAAATGTAGTTCTCAGGGATACAGAACAGAGCACAGAAGGGCAGAGATTATGCAGTACTTAATATAATTTCATTAAATTTGTGCTGGCAAGAAAGCACACTAACCACAATCTACAATTGGAAATCTCTATTAGGAATGTTGTACTATTTTCATTGCCTCATAAATCCTCTACTAGAAACCTCACCTTAGGTAGTTTCCTTGCCACACCTTTTCTAAAGGATTTATGTAATCACTGTAAGTAGTTTCAGATTAGCACAATTATACTCTGCCATGTGCTACAAGACTACATTTGCTCTTTATGAACTCAAGTGGTCATCTGTTATGGCACATCCTAGATCAGTGTCTCTCAGCCCTCTCAATTTAAACACCCTTTAGATATAAATTTTTTAAATTAGAAAGGTATTATATATTTAATGGAGAAAATTATAAAATTAATGAGTAAAAATAATAAAATAACATTTTTCTCCACCATCTAGAGATAATTAACCATTGTTTGTGTATGTTTGCATGTATTTCTTTTAACAATGTAGATATTTATATAGATTAATATACCAATTAATACACACCAATAAACTCAAAATTAGATATATGTTTTAAATGACATTCTGGAATGCATCTTTATTAACTGCTTTAGTTATTAATGAGATATAAACATTTCTCTTTATCACTAATTATTCACTAACATAGTTTAATATATTACCCTATCTAATAAAAGAGTAATATGCAAATTAACCAGCACTCCACTACACCCATAAGCCATGCCCATAAGCTACACCCACAAGCCAATCAGGAGAAAGTATGCAAATTAACCCCACCAAGTTGGCTGTGGCCACAGAGAGAGCAGGAAGGAAACTTAGGTTTCCCCGGCAATGGAGGAAGCCAAGCTTTCCGCACACCCTAGCTGGCCCAGGCTTCCACTCAATGCTACAAAGTTCCAATTATAGAAGATGAATAAATCCCAACAAAAATAGTGGCAGCCATGGAGCTGGAGAGAGCAGGAGGCTAGAGTTTCCCCTGGTGATGGGGGAAGCCAAGCTTTCCGTACACCCTAGCAAGCCCAGGCCTCCACTCCAGGCTACAAAGTTTCAATTGTAGAAGATAAATAAATCCCAGATTCCAGGATCTCTGCTTGGGTCACTGGGGGGGCGTTGTTGGCCTGCAAACCACCATAGGCCTCTTGCCCAGGCTGCCCAACACCCCAAGGGAACCCCTACCTTGATATGGACACACTTCAGGGAAAACCAGCTGGCCCCTACCCATTCACCAGGCCTTTATCCTATCTAATCCTATCTAATAATATATATATATATGCAAATTGATCATCACTCCAACACACAAGATAGCTGCCCCCCTGTGGTCAAAGATCCTGCCCCCATGAGAACACAAAATGGCCACCACAAGATGGCCAGCAGGGGAGGGCAGTTAGGAGGGACCAGGCCTGTAGGGGAGTGCAGTTAGGGGTGATCAGACCTGCAGGGGAAGGAAGTTAGGGGCAAACAGGCTGGCAGGGGAGCAGTTAGACATCACTCAGGCTGGCAGGGAAGTGGTTAGGGAATGATCAGGCTGGCAGGCAGAAGAAGTTAGGGGCAATCACGAAGGCAGGCAGGTGAGCAGTTGGGAGCCAGCAGACCTGGATTGAGAGGGATGTCCAACTGACCATTTAGGCCCGATCCCCCTGTGTTCAGGCTCGACTGAGGGACACCCCCCCACCTGTGCATGAATTTCATAGACCTGGCATCTAATGTTTTGATAATTATTATAAAAAATATGAAGCTTTCAATTACCAAAATATTCTTCATATTTTCATATTGATAACAACAATTAAGAACATTTATCCACATATATACCAACAATGCATGTTATTATTCATTTTATTCCTTTAAAAACTCTTTTTAATATTAAAATATAAGAGATTCTTCCTCATTACAATTCCAGTTAATATTAATTAGACTTTTGGTCTTAATTACTTTAGAAAACACACGAACAATTGTTAAGTTCTCAGACCCCTGATAAGGAGTGATCTATCCAGCAAACTTCCCCATGTCATAACTGCAGAGAGTTCTTACAAATGCAACACATCTGTTGAAATACCTCTGCCCCCATGACACTGATATGCCCAAATTAGAGATAATAAGAAAGAAAAAGTTTATAATATTATGAAAAAAACATGTTAAAAGACATCCTACAAAGATTTTAGTGTCACACAATCTCTGTCTTCCTTTTGTACCTTTAGTACTCCCACACTCCTGGGATTGGTCATGTAGAACCAGAACCGAACAGTACACATTCCAAGGCTTGCCGGGAAGTACTGAGAAGTAGTGATTCTTGCGGTGTATCCTTCTTTGGGACCAGTTGAGTTGACATACACAAAGTGTTGCCCACTACCTTGAAACAGATAAGAAGAACTTTTTAAAATTAAATTATATATTTTATAGCAGGAGGCAGAATGTAGTTATAACATGTACACATTTCATTTTTCTCCAAACACACACACACACACACATGTAAACATAATTCATTTACTTTTTGTGAGTTATATATCAATAACATTTATTTTTTTGAACAACAACAACAACAAAAAAGAGTCATGATTATGTGATTCTCAAAATTCACCCAGGGATGTGACTCGTGCATAAAGTGATAAAATATTTGTGTTTTTCCCAATTTGCTTAAATTGTCCATCAGTTTCAAGTACATAAAATATTTTGTGAGCTGCATGTTGAGCAGGTATTGGGGACTGATTGATGTATCTCATGTTCTGATTCACACACTAGCTACAGTAGTAATGAATGGTGATGCCAGCAAAATGAAGTGTAATTCTCAATGCCACTACATTATTTTTTTTCTGAGCAATAAATGACTTCTCCTCAATTGCATTATGGCATGAATATGTGAAAGATCTCTCTCTTTAAACACAGCTGGATTTATTTCCACTGCATACATCATCATATGTCTTTTGGCATTCTGTAGGTACTGTCTAGAGAAATACCTCTTCGGGTCCTTTGCTCATTTTTTTAAATTAGATTGATTGTATTTTTAATGTTAAGTTGTATGAGTTCTTCATAAATTTTGGATATTAATCCCTTATCAGTTGTGTAATTGGCAAATATCTTCCACCATGTGATAGTTTGGAGAAATACCTGAGATTTTACTGCCTATGTTTTCATCTCAGGTGATTATGGTTTTCAGTCTAACATTTCAGTCTTGAATCCATTTTGAGTTTATTCTTGTGTATGATAGAGGAGGTGATCTAGCTTTTTGTTTTTGTTTTGTTTTGTTGTTGTTTTTTGCGTATATCCATTCAGTTTTCCCCACACCATTTATAGGAGAGACGTCTTTTTCTCATTGTATATTCTTGCCTCCTTTATCAAATATTAATTGAATATAAAGGCATGGATTAATTTCTGAGCTTTCTATTCTGTTCCATTGATCTAAATGTCTGTTTTCATGTCAGTACCATTCTGTTTTTGTTACTACAGTATAACCTTATAATATAGTTTGATATTAGATAGCATGATACCTCCAACTTTTAAAACACTGCTTTAGCTACTTTAGGGGTCTTTTGTAGTTCCATATAAATATTACAATTATTTGCAAAAAAAATGACATTGGTATTTTAATAAAAACTATATTGAATCTGTAGATTGCTTTTGGTATTATAAACATTTTAATGATGCTGTAATTATTCCTATTCATGAGCAGAGTATATGTTTACATTCATTTATACCTTCAATTTCTTTCTTCAGTGTGTTACAATTTTCTGAATACAGGTCTTTTACTTCCTTGGTTAAATTTATTCCTAGGTATTTTTTGATGCAATTGTAAATGGTATTGCTTTCTTAATTTCTCTTTCTGATAGTTTGTTATTGGTGTATAAAAATGCATCTAAACTCAGAATATGAATTTTATGTCCTTTTTATTGAATTCACTTATTAGTTCTAGTAGCTTTTTTTGTGGATTTTTTAGGATTATCTACATACAGTATCATGTCATCTGCAAATGATGACAGTTTTTTCTTCCATTCCAATTTAATTAAAAAAACATTTTTATTGATTTTTTTATAGAGAGGAAGGGAGAGGCATAGAGAGTTAGAATCATCAATGAGAGAGAAACATTGATCAGCTGCCTCCTGCACACCTTCTACTGGGGATGTGCCCACAACCAAGGTATATGCCCTTGACTGAAATTGAACCTGGGACCCTTCAGTCCACAGCTCTATCCACTGAGCCAAATGAGTTTCAGCAAGCCTTTTTTTTCTTGCCTGATTACTATGGTTAGGACTTACAATATTATGCTGAATAAAAGCAGTGAAAGTGGACACTGTCTTGTTCCTGATTTTAAGTGAAACATTTAGTTTTCCCTTTTGACTATGATGCTAGCTATGTGTTTGTCATATGTGTCCTTTATTATATTGGGGTATGTTTCTTTTATTCCTACTTTGTTGAGTATTTTAACTATAAATATATATTGTATTTTAAGTGTTATCTGCATCTATTGTGACAATCATATGATTTTTAGTCTCAGTTTTATGTGGTTTATCACATTAATTGATTTGTGGATTGAACCAATTTTGCACCCTAGGACTAAATCCCACCTGATCATGGTGCTTGATCTTTTTAATGTATTGCTAAATTAGATTTGCTAATACTTTGTTGAATATTCTTACATCTATGTTCATCAGAAATATTGACCTATAATTTTCTTTTTCTTTTTTTGTAATGTCTTTGTGTTTTTAATTCAGTAAAGCTGTCCTTGCAAAATGAGTTTGGAAGCCCCTCTTTAATTTTTTTGGAATGATAGGAGTTAATTTTCCTTTGAATGTTTGATAAAATTCACCCGTGAAGCCATTGGATTAAGATTTTTAAAAATATATATATTTTATTGATTTTTTACAGAGAGGAAGGGAGAGAGATAGAGAGCTAGAAATGTCGATGAGAGAGAAACATCGACCAGCTGCCTCTTTCACACCCCCTACTGGGGATGTGCCATCAACCAATGTATATGCCCTTGCCGGAATCGAACCTGGGACCTTTCAGTCCACAGACCGACGCTCTACCACTGAGACAAACCGGCTTCGGCTGGATTAAGATTTTTTTTTGTTGGCAGTTTTGTTGTTACTCTTGTTGCTTTTAAATTAATTAATTGTTATTTTTTTATTACTGATTTTATTTAGTTAGTAGGTATTCATCTATTCAGATTTGTTGTCTCTTCTTGACTCAGTCATGGAAGACTGTATGTTTCTAAGAATTTATTCATTTCTTATAGATTGTCCACTTTGTTGTCAAATTTATTTCATATGCAAAAAGCCACAATATTAGGGGATGAGACTATTAAACACTGACCAATTTCTCAAATCTTTAAATTGGATTGAACATCTTCACTTCCTATTCCAAATTTTTCATTTCATATTTATTTCCCGTTTCATATTTATTTTCCCCAGTATTTACTTTTATTATAGTAACTTCTGAAGAACAGTTTATTAAATATATGCTATAATTACAAGGATTTAGTACAATCTAAAATTTACATTTTAGAAATATATTATGTATATTATGAAATTTAATTAAATATTTATAATTCACTGGGTCTAATAATAACACATCATTTCACTGAAGCTTATCTACTTCAGTAAAAGACAAACAGTGTTATGTAGAGCTCAACATCAAAGCTAGCAATTCCAATTATTAGTTAGTGCACTTTAAGTGTGTTTTCAAAACACATCTAACCTTTTGTAATTTGCATATTCAATTTTAGTTTTACAAAATACTATACCTGATCACAAAAATCAGAAAGTCAATCCCTGGGTAATGTGTTAATGCATGAAAATGTGAAATTTTATCCATTTTAAAATTTAAGAATGCAAAACCATGCCTGGCAATTTAGAAGAGACCATTGCAAAGTTGGTTTTTGGGGATTTTTAATTGTGGAATTCTAGCATATGTAAATTTGGCTTTGTAAGGAGAAAAGACTTGTTGCAATAACACATTTTTTACTTGAGAACTATAAAGATTTAAAAGTTGCTTTGCCTCTTGAAATTATTAATAGAATTAAGTGAATTATCCAGGAATTATATAATGTGTAACAAATTTATAAAACCTTACATTGGATTACATTTTCAGAAATAGACTCATTCTTTATCTTGCAAATTCAGACCATACCCACTTTCAAACATTGATAAACTTTCAGTTGCTTCTTTGAGAATTACATATATATATATATATATATATATATATATATATATATATATGGCATAATCCTTGGAGAAGGTCACTCTAACATCCCACACAAAGTTCATAATCCATTAAAGCAGTTAATAAATCTTAAACATGTAAACTGCTAGAGCATATTTAGAATGCAGTGGTAAATCATTAAATCAGTTCACTTCATTTGTGTGTGACTCCTTGCAATGATCAACAACATTCATGTGCAATATTTTGTTGTTGTTGGTTTGACTTTGGACTATTTTAAAGCTTTCTACTGTCCATTTAAAAGTTAATTAACTCTCATATATTAGATCTCATTACTTAAATTACTTTTTAAAATCTAGCATTGCTAATTAAGTATTACTAGATGCAGTAGTCTGGAATGTGGGTATTCATTAAATATGTCTGAATGTATTTTTAAAAATTTATCTTTATTGCTGAAAGTATTCAGATCCGGGGACACAGTGTGATAAAAACCTGGGAAGGCTGGGTGGAGGGGTCAATGGGAATAAAAAAGGAGACATCTGTAATACTTTTTACAATAAAGATAAATCTTTAAAAAAAGAAAGTATTACAGATGTCCCTTTTGTACCCAATTGACCCTCTCTACCCCCCTTACCCTCAGGCCTTCATCTCTGCCTTCTGTGTTTTTCTGTACACTTTCAGATACTACTTTAGTTTTGCTTATACAGGTTTTATAAGTTTTTAATATTCTCTTTTTAAATTATCACCTGAGGATATGTTTCCATTTATTCTGTTTTGTTTGTTTGTTTTTTAGAGATTGAAGAAGGGGGTATATATAGAGAGAAACATCAATGTGAGAGAAAAACATGGATTGGTGCACCAATTGGGGATAAAACCACAACTTGGAAATGTTCCCTGACCAGAATAGAACTACAACCTTTGGTGCGGGAACCCAGCCAAATAAGTCACTGGCTAGGACTAAGTTGTTAATATTCTTAAAGAATAGATCTTATTTTTCACATATCAATTAAAATCAGGCACTGAATAGAAGTTTCTCATTAATATTCCATTTTTTACTTTAAGAACTATTTAAAGAATTGCACACATTTTAGAAAATTGGGGTCTACTTAGTGCCCAATAGTGTAAATTCAGCATCAAAGTGCATTGTTTACAAGTCACCATTGTTACTCGATACTGGGTTACCCAAATGTACAAGCC